AGAGGAGAATCACTGTAATAATGCAGCTTAAACTTTGCCTGACTTGGCTTTGTTTCTTTTTTGTTTCTTTTTTAGGTGAAACATGGAACCCATTGAAGTTGCACTACCAATTACGAAATGTCCGTGAACGGTTAGCTAAAAATCTAGTGGAAAAAGGTGTACTGACAACAGAAAAACAGAACTTCCTTCTTTTTGACATGACTACCCACCCTCTCACCAACAACAATATCAAACAGCACCTCATCAAGAAGGTTCAAGAAGCAGTTCTTGACAAATGGGTGAATGACCCTCACCGCATGGACAAGCGCTTGCTGGCACTTGTTTATTTAGCTCATGCTTCAGATGTTCTGGAGAATGCTTTTGCCCCCCTTCTGGATGAGCAGTATGATTTAGCCACAAAGAGAGTGCAGCAGCTTCTGGATTTAGACCCTGAGTTTGAATGTATGAAAGCCAACATGAATGAGGTTCTGTGGGCTGTTGTAGCAGCTTTCACAAAATAACTGTTCAGAATGAAGTATTCTGTCTTCTCTCATGTAAACCAGTGTTTTTTTCTTCTATTGACTATTCATGTTTTATGTGATTTGTACCTTCTCACATGATGAATCAGCTCTTGTTTAATAGGAATCATGTGGTGTATCTATATACAGGGTTCTGCTGGTACAAAAGACCTCATTTAAAAACAACAGAAAATGTTTTTACTGCCATTTACTGCATTCTATTTCCTATTCAATTTTGAGTTATCTGAAACACTATGTTTAATCTATTTTTCATCTTACTGTTATTGAAGTGGTTTAACATGGAAAGTACCTCAAGGAGGAAATGTGCATGCAATTGGATCACTAATCTCAGTTGACACAGATGTGTGCATGCACCAATACTTCTGCAGTACAACTCCTAACAGATTGGAAAAGGGCCTTTTAAAATCACCAAACCTCCATGTTGAGGTGTCTGTCAGGATATTTCATATACAGATGTCATTTCAATTATATCTAACAAAATTGCTTTAAAAGCAGAAATGCCATTAATCAGTTTTTTCAATAGTTCCTGTAAAATGCCCCATAAAGTTTACTTTTCATGCAAGTCTCTTGTGTACTTATGCTTGCATTAAAATGATAGCTGAGTCATAAGGCTCATGTTGAAAGGTCCAATTGTTTCAGAAACCCATTTTGGGATGGGATACATTCCATTATGTTGTATATGTAGTTCAAATTGTAAATTAACAACTGCCTCATCTTAGTATTTTGCAAGATCCACTTAGTGCCTGGTGCCCCTTATTTGCCATCAGTCATTTGATGGAAAGGCCTCCTATAAAGAGCATATATGTGAAAACTGTTTGTTTCCAGCGTCTACAGAGTTTGCCATCCAGGTATGCCATCTCAGTCTATGCATTACCTTTAATAATTACTGTATAGAAAGGGACCACTTTCTATCATAATTTGTACTTTTGTTTTCTTCTTTTTTTCCCCTCCTGTATGGAAGACGCTTGTGACTAGTACAGTTCTTGACTGCAATTTTTAATTTTGTTTGGACACAAATTAATATTTGTTTTTTTAACCTCTCAATCTATTTTACACTTTAAAACCAAAAAGTGTGTTGCATATAAATGGATAGCAAGTAATGATTGCAGTTCCAATTATTAAAATTTCTGTAATGGGATGCTCTGCTATATTTTAATTTTTTATATACAGCTATACTGATTAGCACAGTATTGTAAAATATATATATGAAACTTTGTCTTTTTGAAAAATTTTATTGCCTCTTTGCCACTGTTTGTTATCTCCCATTGGTTTCACAGTGCAAATATTATGCACTGAACAAATTATGCATCTATTTATGGGCTTTTTTTCCTCATAACAATCAAGATTTATAGTGGGGCTTACAGGTGTCTAGAAACATTTTTTGGTTACTATTCAGAGCAAGAATACTAGATGGTATATTACTTTAGAGTTGAAATTTAAGGGATCCCTTAGTCTGTATACTAGCTTTTTATCTACAGTAAATAAACTATGGTCTTAAAAGTGCCTGAAACAGAGCAAGCATGTAATTTTTTTTGTTGTTGCTAATTAGAAAGGTTTTATTGATAACTGAAAGCTTTAGTTAATATCCTTCTTCTTAGAAAGAGAGTTTATATTAAGTAGATCAAACTGACTTAATCAACAGTGTCATTCAGATCTGCAGGATTCATGGCTGAGACAGACCGAGTTAGCTTATGAGTGTGCAGCTGTGCCTGCCATAGGTAGACCTCTTCTATCTTGAACACAGCTCTATGGTCTCATCTGTGACTGGACTTCCAATTTTGGACTTAATTTTAAATAATTTAAATGCTTAAGTAGTTGACTTCAAAATGAAATTTTAATTCATCATACCTATATAAACTTTCTTTAATAAAGGTTTTTAAAATATGGTCCTTAACATTTAGTGGCACACTGTTCTTTCAGTTCTCGAATTATGTTTCTTTAGAAAAATTAAACGTAAAGTAGATTGCAAGATATTTCAAACTTTGGTTTGCAAATAAAAAGATAAACGATGTTCTCCTAGCTGTAAGATGCTGTGTTTAGAACTTTGAGGAGCTTTGGCATGAACTTTTGACATTTTCTTTTAAACATTTTCAAAATGTGATTGCTTTAAATGAAGGAAAAATGAAAGTTGCTGCGTTGCTCTTATATTTGACAGCTTACAGAATATTTTCTGTACTTGATAGTATATGTTAACTCATTGCATTCATTGTCTCTCTCTCCTGTGATCTGATTTCTCATTTTCTGTTGCTCTTTGAGAGGAGACAAAATTAATTAGGTGGAAAAATCAGAAAAAAATAGTGGGGTATTTGGGAGCAAGTTGAGTGTACAAAACTTTTTAAATGGCTTTGGAAATCTAAGCTACTTGAAATATGCTTCATACTGAAAGTATCTTTCATAGTTCCTTTTCTGTCCTCTCATCTTCATTCTGTTAGTATTTTTCATGTTCCTGCTGGTTTCATGTTACATTGTGAAAGATATTGGGGTTTTAATACCCTTACAGACAAAATGGTTTAAAATAAAGTCATTGTTCTTTAATCCCTTCCAGAGAAAGGATTTTTATTGTTTTGTTTTGGGGTTGAGGGGAGGGATTCACATAGAAGATAACTGCCTACAGCGTTTATCAGTTTTATTTTGCATAAAGAGAGAACCTCTGTCTATTGGGGAGAGTTTGTACTGGGTGTATCAAAGAAATCTGATATAAGTAACTAAGGGTTTGTGAGGAGTGACATTATCTTTTGATAGACCACCTGGCATAGGCCTGGATGTTTGAGGGAAATAGCTTTTGGAGTCTTGAGTCCTATGTTGTGCTTTAAAAACCCCAAGACCTCATGAGTGCTACCAGACCTTATATCTAACAATGAGGGTAAGTTTGGTAGGTCAACAGGGATGGATTTTTCAAACATCCTTACATTTCTTGCCATTTCAGGTTCTTATAAATGATTAAACATGGGAGACTGCTTTGTTCTGCTGAGATTCAGGTACCCTTCTTCCTATTACCTGTGACTGCAGCCCACAGAGACCTGGAGACCTGGTTTTAAGACATATTTGGCTGGTCTCTGGGTCCGAAGGTCCCAGTGGTTGCTTAAAGTGAAGATTGCTATTATAGCCTGAACTTGAACCTCTGCCTTAAGGAAGCACATATATTATTCAGGGACTCATTCTTTTAAAACAAAATTTCAAGTTAATGTAAAAAATGTGATTTGGAAAGACAAATCCATAAGCAGTATACATATATAATTTTACGGTCCTTGAGCTTTACATCCTCTTCCATGCTTCTAGAGATGATGTTACAGCAAAACCTGAGTGCCATACATGATGTTAAAAAGGCAAAAGTTTCAGAAATTAGCTATAAAAGAATAGTGACTGAGTGCTCATATGTTCATATGTTGGGAGACCTTATCGCCCTCTACAACT